AAGGAACGATTGGCCATCGGTGATCGGTCCTGTGGGAACAATGCTCCGTCCTCTCGAGGACGCGTGGTCAATGGTCTAACCGCTAAGACATGCAAAACATAAGAGTACGCCCCCCCCTCACCTAGTTGCCACGTACAACGCCCACCCTCCGACTGACGTCCGTACGTGAGGCACGTGTTTCGACAAGTTGATCAGTGTCATACATATCCACCCGTCTTGTTCACTTCCGAATCAAGCCGGCGACGTCTACGCATGACCCCCCTCCCTCATTACAACAGCGCCCGCAAACGCGCGAAGATCTCCGACCCGCCCCCGGCCAGTACAGCATCCCGAGCACCCTGGGAACGACGATGGACTCGAGGTTCCGGACGGTGGTGGCCCCGGGGTTCGGGACTCCTCCGCCGATAGACGAACAGCGGCCGCACTCCGCCGCGGCTAGGCTTGGGGGCGGGCCCGGGCCGGGGGCGTACGACGTGGTGAGTGAGATACATACGATCGTCTACAGAAGTGTAGACGGGAAACGCTTGGGGATGGCGCCGGGGAGGGCATGGTTCATCGGTGTCGTAGTTTTTTTTCTTCGATGTTCGAAAGAGGATTCGAATCAACACCTCAAATATGGGGTTCCCGCAATGTGAGTTTCGGGAAAAAGATGCTTGTCGAACGATAAAAGACGCCAGGAGCATCAAAGGTATGAGAGAACCGGCGAGGGAGAAGGTAATCACGAGATGTTTTCGTGGCTTGCCTGTGATTATTCGTTATGGTGTTTGCCAACGCGTTTCGATATCTTTGGGTGCCTAGCACGTGATTTCCTCGTTTTGTGCCTTCCAGGGAAGGGTGGATAGTCTGGCGGTGCAGAAGAAGCCCCTTTCCACGGAAAAAAGCTGCCTGTCGTTTCAGATCAAGCCCCCGACTTCTGTAAAGGTGAGACCACCAAGAAAAACCGCAATGCATCTACAGGATGCATTTCACCTGAAAGCGAGCCTGCAGCAACTCCAGCAGTGTGATCCTGTGCTTCACAACGCGATCGGAAACTGCTTTGGCAATCAATGCTAGATGCGAGCTTGGCTACGAGCCGACGCGGCCCTGAGGAAAACGCCCGCTGCGGAGAGAAGCTTCTGGCACGCTCGGTCAATTTAGAACGAACGTCTCCCTTTTGTTCCGGCAACAAAATGCTTCAAAGGCAAAAGCATGCAGGTCTTGAAAGTAGCGATCGCCCGCGTAGCTTACCAACGTTTATTCTGTGGTTGAGTGATTTGTTGTATCGTGCAATAGAGTGTTAGTAGAGCGAGCGAGTCGGCTTTCGCGCGAGTGGCGCGGCGACTTCTTCGCGCTCTCCCCCCTGCTTGCCGGGAAATGAAATAGTCTAGCCACGGGAAATGCACCCCAAGCGATCGCGCACGAAGGGTCCATGACTGATGTTCATGACATCGAACAGGTGTATCCCGCAAGCAAGTAGTCCAAAATGGCGTCAGGAGCAGGGGCACAAGCAAAATACCAACCGCTCGTGGTCTTTACAACGATGGTGGTACTAGTTCAATACTCCAAAGGCTACCTCGAAAGCGAGAGCGAGAATTGCACCAACAATATGTCAACAACAATGTCATTCCTTGCGTTTTCGACAATGAACTGCTGTGCAATCGTATGCGTTGTGACTGCTGCGCGTGCGTGCATACGTACACAAATATGCCGCAGCCAAACGTCTCACGCGAGAGGAAGCTGCAGGAGCTGGACCCGGAGAGCTTGAGGCGCGCCATCAAGAGCACGCGAAAGGGGTGCCGCGTCCCGAACGTTTCGTTCGGGGTAGGCCCACAGCGGTGAGTTGTGAGGCCTTCTTGTCACCACGGTCGATCGTGAAATGCTGTTCCACAATACGCATTCTCGCTCGAGCGTTTGAAGTTGGAGCTAGATAGGCCGGAAGATTGCCACATTCTGTGCTGAAAACGTTTCCTTCTTGCCGCGAAACTTAGTCAGTGAGTGACACCGTACCCGTGTGTTTGGTCGATCGGTGCTTGCGTGGCCGATTCTCTCGAAACCACAAGTGCACGAACATCTGGTAACTGACGTCATGAATGGTTGCTCATTTGACAGTTATTGCAGTTGGGCTACAGCAAAATACTACTACTTCCATCGGGGTTCTCTAATGGCGGGCGGGTTCACTCGCGCTCTATGGCAAACCTATAGCGGGCACACGCCCTGTTCGAGAGGAACAATTTTGCTGTGCCAGGAGGTGCCACTCGCCAAATATTGGCCCACTGCCCTACATTTCACAATCCGCCCTATTGATGACCCACGATTGAACAAGTATTCGTCTGGGTGTACGGACGGCATTAGTGAAACGTAGTGTCAAAACCAGTGAGTTGTCTTTCACAAGGCACGTTTCCCGGCAGTGGTTCGAGATCTTCCAATTGCAGTCCTTCAACTGAAACCGCTCAGATAGAGGGACAAAATTGTTTCCTTCTTTCCTCACAGCTTGGCCGATGAGCGAGACCAAGGACTTATCTTTGAAGTATTGGCGAGACTCGGTATTGCACGACTCATGGCGCGTTCGGGGTGGTGCATGACTTCTGTTTGAGTCTGAAGTGAGAAACTTGACATCTCAGCCTCGAATGAAAAATACTACAATATGACAGTACAATTCGAAAGGTGGTCCGATGAGCTCGATGGAAGTGAATCGTGCAATGTTTATTTTGCTGGTTCTTCTGAATAAGGACCCCAATCACGAGAGGACCCTGGGTGATAATGTTCAGGCGTTGCATGACTTAGCAAGCACATCTGATCGACCCACCCCCCGGCTATCTTGTTTTCCCCGCACGAACAGGCCCGTGGACAACCCAGGAAAGTGTCCGGGGCCTCAGGCGTATGATCCGGAGAACTTGCGGAGAGCCGTGTCCGCCTGCAAGTCGTCACCCACTCGCGGGTAAGATACACAATTGAGGATAATTTTTCGCGTTTGGTTGCTGATTCTTCCCATCTATCCGCCAACAGAAATATGATGAACTTTCGCAAGACACAAGCTTCTTCAAACAACACACTGCTGTCGACTTTGCAAGTCCGTGAGAAGGCTGAATGAAGCCGGCAGAGAGAAGCGGGAAAAGAAATGGCGCTACCGCCAACCCAAAACCCACATCCGAGCGACTCGCTCACGAACTTGCCGACGAAGACGGAGGTCCCCTATCGAGAACAATAGAACAAGCGCAATGCCTGGGTGGAAACCCTATTTCTGCATGAACAGAGATGGCCCGGCGAGAATGAAAGAAAGAATGATATTTCGCACGCCGCTCCTGAAATAGTACGTAGTCATAAGCAGGGCACTCACCTTCCCTTCCGCAATCAGCATTGGAATCGCCCTCACGGGAAGCGGTGTTGTGGCAATGCAGTACCCCACATCATTCAGGGTTTCGTTAACCCGTCATCTATTGTAGTCCTGATAGTTGATCATCACCTCTCTCTTTTATCACTCATTTTCACTTTACCGTTCTCCGCTAATTTGATACCGTGGCGACAATGCTTTTGGCTCCCTGTGCTTTCAGCCTCTGTCTGCGTCAATCCGAACCCTATATTCAGAAGAAGCGCGACTTCCATCGACACGAACCCGACGAAGTCAGGTTGTACGCTGTAGTACGAAATATTTCATTGTTGATTTACGGCGATGCGTCATAGAGAAAGAGGGAGAGAGGGAGCGAAGGGGGCAGAGAGAGAGGGGGAGAGATATATATTTAGGTCGAGAGAGCGAGCAGTGATCCTAACTACAACATTAACTATTACATTTGATCCCACATCACACTGAAATCGATGTTTTCGCTGCAGGTTCCCTGCGGAAGACATCAAGCACAAGGCTCGCGCAGAACAGCACTGTTTCTGGCACCGTGGACAGTCGTTGTTCATTCTGAGTACGAATTCGCTTTTCATTTTGGCGGGGCGAAGTCCAAGCCTGATCGCTCCCTAGTCGCCCCCTCCACCCATCAAGTACAAACTAGAGCCATTGTTCTCTGAATTTCATCACGACAAGGCCCCCGTTCGTAAACGGGAAGCGGTTTCTTCGCAAACGGGCAATCCGCTGCCCGGCGACCTCAAACTAAAACACAAGTATAAAACCTCGTGCCGCAATGCTCTTCTCGGGCTGTTACCCCCCCTATCCCCGTTCTGCGACGCCTCAGATATCACTCAGTCGCGATTTCATTGGTTTTGATGGCCACTCGATGATATCCACTAGGGTCCTCGCTCCTACCGCCGGTGTTGGTTCATCTGTCCTGGCGGAGTCGGGCCCGGTCTATCAAAGAGGCGCCCGATCTCAAACCAAGCCCTTCAAATATACGGCTCCGGGGGCAGGGACGCACGCCTCAAAAATATCGGACCTTATCGTCGACAGGATGAAGGGGCAGACACACGCCGCTCGTACAGCCCCCGATGCTCACATGCTCGTCCTTGACCTTCCGTTATGTCAACCCCCCCAGCGTAAAGTTCGGAACTGGCCCTCAGAGGCACGATACAGCGCAGTTGGACAAGAGCCCCGGACCGAATGCCGGTTACTTCATCCCATCAACGTTGGGAGCACAGCAGGTGCGATCATTCGGTCGCAGACGATCTTTGGTTTGCCGAGGATAGAGGATATTGACAGATACTGGTATGGGTTTGGCAACCTTTGGGTATCCACAGAAGCCTACGGCACTGCGGACGAAATCATGGGACACTCAGCTCCTCATGCGCGTGTTACCTTTCTTTTTCTTATAAAGCAATACACCTTCGTTTCTGCGAAGCGGAAAATGGTGGGGAATGAACTGTGGACGCAAACAAGGGGCGAGAATCCTCCGGACCGCATCATACTTTTTCCCTCTTTCTTGCAGTACTGACATATGGCAAACTCCCATCGATCCATAGTAATTCCTTTCTATCCATAGACAAGAGTCCCGGATAAACTAGAGATGAAGTTATCAACATGGTTTCCCTACCTACCATGTTTGTGCATGAAACTGTTAACGAACGCCTGTTTGGCCTATCTGTGTACCTCAACACACCCCCGGTCTTCGCTTTCGCTTCGTGCCCGGGCCTAGGCCAACTCCATGTTCGAGAGCGTGAAGACGTCAAGCTTTGGCCCCCCTCCCAATAGATCCTCCAGAGGAAACACGCCTATGGTCACCCCTGGACCGTCGGACTACAATGTGAGTGGGGCATTCTGGCGCTTCACGTACAACCCGTACCCCCTTAGACTACACATATAACGACGACCATACCCTTTTTCTTAGTGGTCGGAGTATGTATTGGGCTCTTTCAGCACGCTCATGGTTGTGGAGCAATCAAGCTCTGAAGGTCGGTCTGGGAGGGGTGCCATCTCTCCGCCTCTTTACGGTTGTTAGTACCCCAAGGGTTTCGGAGTTTAATGCAATATTGATGCAATTTCAGAAAATCTGTACGAAGCTTACTCTGGCAACTGGTAGACACTATTTTTGGCCTTACTGGCGACACTGGTCGGAATCCAAAACGAATCAGGGGCTACATACAACAATATCACTCGTTTGCGACACCCCCGTAGTTTGTAAACAAAAAGAACAGGTAAAACGAAAAACATGCCAAAGCCCATTTCTTGCGGATGCTAGTCTTGGTATGTTTTGCTCTGCTTCGTGCAATCGGAGGAAAATAGCACCAGTTTGAAAATTGCCTATATCCAACGCGAGAATCGCTACAGATTAGTTACGGACGCTTGGTCAACGTTGAGATGCAGGCGAGAGCCTGACGAACGCATTGCTACAGCACATTTCGGAACATCTTGCCCCATTCAGCTCTAGGAAACCCCGATGCTGTGTCCGCGTCCCACGCATCGCGCGAGTCGTTGGCAGCAGTGGGAACAAACACCCGAAAACGAAGAAGGAACTTTGTGTTCTCTTTGCGTGTTGTGGGCCCATTCTGCCTTGTTGAAGATGCCCCAGAAGTCGTTTGCCAATTGTAGCCTCCTTGGCATGGATTCCAGTGGCACCCTCTCGTAGAAAAAGCGCATGCATGTGCGCGAAATAGCAAAACAGCACGACCACAAACACCTAATTCTAGAATCTTGTGTACGAATCATGCCCATCCCTACCGGTCGCCCCGGTGGTCTAGTGGTATCCTCGTAACCCCGCTAGTCGCAGAGGTCGTGAGTTCGAATCCCCATGGGGTGAAAAATTCATGAAATATGCGGGTGAGAGCGAAATATAGCTCAAAAGCTCTCGTGAGTACCAAGCTTCGACGTTAGCACCGTTGACGAGGGAAAGGGACGGCTGGACCCTTCTCGCGAAAAAATAAATATTCAGCACGCACCGCAGGAGGAAGGTGGGGCATGAACAGAATTATATAGAAGAAAAGAGCCCTGGTGTTTACCCTCTTTGGTGTGACCCTGGATGGTTGTAGTTGTGCGAAAAAATACACTGAAAAGTGTAGTACTCTACATACGCTGAAGAGTGTAGTACACGTCTCACCACGAAGAATGGGGGGACTGTCGCCATAATTAATAGGACGAAAACACACAACACACACATCCCAGAGCAAAGACTGTTTGCGGCCTACGCCACTTATTTATCGGGTTAGACTGTTTTGGTGATGTATTAACTTCACGAGAGGTAGACGACCGTCCTTCATACGGACGAAAGAAGGAGTNGACGACCGTCCTTCACACGGACGAAAGAGGGAGTGCTCAAAGAACGGCTCCCACAGCAAGGAGGGGCCCCGTGAATCATCGCGGTGCCCCATAGAAAACGGCAATCTTACCAGTCTGCGTGACACCAACCATCCAGCACATGTATCCAACACCAATGTTCGCAGATCGACGAACACCGTCCCTGGTTCTTCACGCAAGTGACTAACCATCAATGGGGTAAGAACGCCCCTGGATACATCAGACAATACCAACATGGTAATATATGGAGGGGAAACTCGGCGTCCGGGCAAAACCCCTCGAAAAAACACTACCACAAAAAAAATACCGTCGCTATCACACCGGATCACAACGGCGGCACTTATTAGAAAGGCCAAGGCGAAGACAAGAACGCGAGGAACTACGTTCCCCCGGACGATGGTCTCCCAACGCCCCGTACTCCTGCCATTGGTACACAGACCGCAACAGTTTTGCGCCTTTCCCCGCATGGAAAACATGACCTCTCCCAAGTGCTAGAAACTGCTACAGCTACTCCGGCAAATCCATCAACTTGCGCCGGTGGTACTGCAGACTAGCCCTGCTAAGGGCCTTGGTTAGGAGGTCTGCGTGTTGCTCCGTTGTCGGATCGGACTTGGCCGAAATATCCCCCGACCTAAACAATCCGCGGATGAAGTGAAATCTCACGTCGAAGTGTTTCGTGCGACCTGAGCTGAGGGGGTTCTGCACCAACGCTATGGCGCTCTGGTTGTCCTCAAGGACCTGGATGCTGCTACCACTGGTCTCTGGGGCAACAAACAAAAGCACAGCACGCACAAACAACGCCTCCTTGACGCGCAACTTGAGCCTCCTCCGCTCGCTCGAACAGCAACTCTCGCACCGCCCTCGCCTCTAGCCCTTCCGCCACGTGAAGTACCGCCGAGAGCATCCAGCTGGTGAACTCCTCCGTGCTGCTGACGGGCAGGCTCGCCGCCGAGGCGAGCAGGGCTTCGGCACTTGTCGGCGACGGGGCCGACTGGTACCTTGGATTTCGGCGAGGGTTCTCCCTGGTGCGGCGGCTGGTGAGTTCCGCCGGCTTGTCGAAGCGGGCGAGCCGCCGGGCCTCTGGCCCGCAGAGCGCCGGGAGATCCGTNCGGCGACGGGGGCGACTCGTACCTCGGATTTCGGCGAGGGTTCTCCCTGGTGCGGCGGCTGGTGAGTTCCGCCGGCTTGTCGAAGAGGGCGAGCCGTCGGGCCTCTGGCCCACAGAGCGCCGG